GGAGTGAATGTCCAGGATGCCATTTGGATAATATAAGTCTCTCGTTGGAAACAAAAATGGCAACTAAACTAACAATGGATGCAGTTTGCTAAGGGAAGCATTGCCGGTGTAGTCTTTTTACAGATATGCAAGATGTGCAGATCCCAAGTAAGTTTGGAATCAACAAAGAGTCCCAGGTATTTAATGCAGTTTGCACGAGTCAATGGGAGACCGCTTGAAAGTTTATCGTGCAGTCAGATCAGACTCAAAATTTGATATTACCATATAGCTTGATTTTTTTACATTTAAACTAAGTTTATAGAGCCAATCTTATCTTCCGTAAGTCTTCTTCAATAATGATTTTTAAGTTAGAAGGGTCCTCATCGAAATAAGTGATGCAAGTATCATCTGCATATAAATTGAGTGAACCCTGAAGAGGTATGTATGACAGTTAGTTCATGTAGACTAGGAAGAGTGTCGGTCTCAGAATTGAACCTAGGGGCACTCAGTACAATGTTTTCCATTTTACTTCTGTTATCTCCACATTCAACATACTGTAGTCTGCCCGTTAGATAATCCCTGAACTACAGTAGTGCTGAACTTCCAATACCAGTTTTTTCAAGCACCTTCACGAGGATTTTGTGACTTACTGTATCAATAGCTTTTCTAAAGTCCAACGAGACAAGTACACACTTATATCTCTTATCAACCTTTTCATAAATATTTGTAATTGGTTCTGTAGTTGCTGAGGGGGTATTGCTGTGTTTTCTGAATCCATATTGACTCGCATACCAAAAATGTATTCATATATTATATCACAAGACCTTTAAATTTAATCGATTAAACTATGCAACATATTTTGAGCATGATTTTGCTTGGAAAATAGTTGAATGCACAATAACATAATAAAAGCCCGAGACCGCGAAGCGGTCGAGGGCTTTTATTTAAAAGTTACATACAATGTTATTGTGCATGAAACTATTTGCCAAAAAGCAAAGTTGTGCGAAAAATATTTGGATAGTTTAATCCATTTAAATTTCTAGGTCGAGTGATATACGGCTAGATTATTTCCTGAATAATTATTAGGATTGAAGCCACAAACAAAAAGTTCTATTTTTTATTATAAAATGTCAGAATATTTCTATCAAAATTCTGTCAAAAAAGGTAAACAAAAATTTAATCGCTGATAAACAGGTCTTGTGAAATAATCACTTATTTAAACAAAATTTATTCAAAAAATGACGTTGTCTGATTGGTCTATTTTATAATGAATGAAATAATCGCTGATAAACAAGGTCTTGTGAAATAATCACTTATTTAAACAAAATTCATTCAAAAAATGACGTTGTCTGATGGGTCTATTTTATAATGAATGAAATAATCCATCTAAATAACTGGTTATTCTCATATTTACACAAGTCTCCAATACCTTAGACATAACTGGGAGTGAGGAAATGGGTAGAGACATAACTGGAAGTGAGGAAATGGGTAGTTGTTCAGTTCTATGCTATCATTTTAAACAAAGGGTCAACTTTTGCCATTATAAACAGACTTGGTACAGATGCAGTATTATATACAAAAATTTATCAACTTACATAATAAAGCTGAGTTGATTTCTGATACATTTGATGTAGAGCCAAATCTAAAAGCCGCTGTTTTAGAAACGAGAAACATTAATATCATAAAATGAGTTGAATCGCTTTCAAACCCTAGTTCATCATGAAGTGGCTTGGAAAGCTATTGAATATCAATATTGCACTCTCAACACTGATAATCCAGAAATTTCAAGCTAGAAAACACTCACTTCAAGGCAAATTATTGTTAACCTATAATTTCCTTTTTTGAATTAATTCCATAGTTATTCGATTCAACCTGCCATCACTTTGAAATCAACGATGTGTTGTTTTGATATTTGAGCTATCGGTGTAGATTTTGGAGATAGTAGAGCCCATATTGGCCTGGAAGGAGTTTTACTGCTTATTGATTTGCGGAATTTGAGGAATCAATTATTAGACTCAAAGGAATCTTTTCACGAAAAATCATCATTGTATGTTGATAATTGAAATAGGCAGTTTTAATTTTGTGCTTTCCATGTACATATTTATTTATTTAAATTGTTGCCTGTTCAACAACTCACTTTCATCCAAAAATTTGGAGACAAGCTTCCATTTTTCCCCAGGGGTAAACCACCCACCCGAATTTGTGCAAACAATTCCTCAAACTTCCCGCAAATTCCTCTAAAATTCCTGCAAATTCCTCCAAACTGCTCGCAAATTTTGCAATTGCCTGTTACAAATTCCCTAAAAATTCCCAAAATTGTTCGTGATAAGAAATGTATTTTTCCATTTTTATTATGCTCACCAGTTTACGATATATTCCTCCAATTACCCATGAAATTCCTTCAAATTCCCAACATATTTCTCGAAATTTCCCGCAAATTCCTCAAAATTCCTATAAATTCTCCACAGTTTTAGTGAAGAATTCCTAGGTGGTTTATTCCTTGAAGGTGAACGATCAGAAGGAAATTTTTATTTTTTCCCAAATTTCAATCTTTTCTCTATCCACTTGCAAAATTTCAATCCAATCAATATTTGAAACATTTTCTACAAAAAAAATAAAACGTCCTTCAATGTCGTTTTTTGAAATTTGATTTTTCCCAAAACGACATTGAATCACATTTTACCTCACATCTTCGTTAATTTCAATCCGATCTTAACGTAATTAGGCTTGAAATGAAGCCAATTAAATCCTTCATAAATCTTTTCGGGGTATTTTCAATGCAGCTTCAATAGTTTCGCAGCTGCAAAGCTTTTCGACTTTGATTTTTATCAAAGTGCGCGTAAGCAAATTTTTATTTATTTTTTTCTAAATTTCAATCCTTTCCTCATCCACTTGCAAAATTTTCAAACCAATCCTTCAAACACTTTCCTCAGACAAAAATAAAACGTTCTTCAATGTCATTTTTTGAAGCTTGATTTTTTCCAAAATGACATTGAACCAGATTTTACCTCACATCTTTGTTAATTTCAATCCGATCTTAACCTAATTAGGCTTGAAATGAAGCCAATTAAATCCTTCATAAATCTCTTTTGGGCATTTTCAATGCAGCTTCGGTAGTTCTGCAGCTGCAAAGCTTTGAAGCTTTTCGACTTTGATTTTTTTCTAAATTTCAATCCTTTCCCCATCCATTGGCAAAATTTCAAGCCAATCGTTCAAACACTTTCCTCAAAAAAAAAACTTCCTTCAATGTGTCGTTTTTTGAATCTTGATTTTTTCCAAAATGACATTGAACCACATTTTACTTCATATCTTTGTTAATTTCAATCCGATCTTTTCGATCTTGAAGTAATTAGGCTTGAAATAAAGACAATTATATCTTCTACAAACCCTAAGTGAATACTTTCAATGCAGCTTGAATAGTTTTTTGCTGTTTAAGCTTCAAAGTTTTTTCGAGGTTTTTTACTTTGATTTTTATCAAGGTTTATGGATTAAACCACCCTGAATTCGTGCAAACAATTCCTCAAACTTTCCTCAAATTCCTCCAAAGTTCCCAAAAATTCCTCCAAACTGCTCGCATATTCCCTGGAAATCCCCAAAATTGTTCGTGATAAGAAATGTATTTTTCTATTTTTATTACGCTCAGTGTTAAAACCAATAAATGCCCCCAATTTCTCATATATTCCTTCAGATTCCCCACAAGTTCCTCCAAATTCCCCACAAATTCCTCTAAATTCTCCACAGTTTCGGCAAAGAATTCCTAGGTGGTTTGCGCCTTGAGTTTTCCATTAATGTAATAGTGATAACAATTTGAGTAAGTAACAATTATTGTGACAAATTTTATACTTTTTAGTTCCTCTCATGTGATTATAGACCAACGTGTAACACTGATGAAGGTTAAAAAATTAGACAGAAACGTCAGCTGTTGGAATAGTATAGGTAATTCCACTAATGTGTCCTTAAAGAACTAAACTTTTCAAGGAGACAGTTTCTCACAAACATAATAAGATTGAGCTTTAATTAACTTGCGTCTGAATTCGGGGGTTCAACAATTTATTATATTTTATTTTTAGAAATAGTAGTCCATCTCACAGCGAAGAAAACATTTAATGAACTGGAGTGAAAAACACAGTCTATCTTCACTTTTTATTTCATAAAAATATCAGTGAAAAGGGGGGGGGGGGGGGTTGAACATGTTTCGAATATCATATCCATCATCAGCATAAGTTCTACAAGACAAAAATTATGGAACGTAGGGAGAATTAGCAAGGATGTCTATAACAAAAATTACCAAAAGGTAGAAACTTACCAAAACCATAACCAACCATAGATTCTCCACTACCTTTTGTAAGTTTTGTTATACATATCCTTGCTAATTCTTCCCAACTTCCATAATTTTTGTCTTGTAGAACCTATGCTGATGATGGATCTATGATAGATTCGAAACATGTTCAACTGATATTTTTATAAAATAAAGAGTGTAGATAAACTGTGTGTTTTACTCCAGTTCTTTAATTTATTACATTATTCCGTGGGCGTATTGAAATATTCGTAATCTGCCAAAAACAATAATTATTATTATCGCATAATTTTCGGTATATTAATATTTAACGGGTTCTGAAAACATTTAATTTTATGCGTAATTCGAAACAGACTTTTACGAGGCTGTAAAAATGAATGTAAAACAATTTAATAACTTTGTCGATTTACTCGGCAATCAAAATGAATTCGGTTATTAAAAATTAAAAATAGCATTTAGAACCTGAGTAAATACGCTTCGTTGATTGGGTTTATTTAAGGCGTAGAAAATTATTAATAAATCAAAATTTAGCTTTTCTCGGCGAAAAATCTCGGGAAGGAAAATCCAATTTAGGATTAAGTAAGTAAATGGAAAAAGCAGGTTTCTGCTCGATATTTATAGAGCGCGCACAGCTTTTCATTTTCCAGACAATTTCCTTGATTTAAACTAAATTTTAGCTTAGAATTAACCAATTTATAAATTGAAATATCTGTTTTGTTCACAGGCCAAACACGAAATCGTAAAATCCAACGAACAAAACGGCATAGTAGATCCATCCGATTTGAGCAAAGGGCCTCAGTCAGTTCCTGCCGGCAACAAACACGCTGTCTCTTTGGGTACTGCTCAGTCGAATTCCGGCAACATTTTAACAGGAAATGGCAGTCACAATCCGTCTACGGGTAACTCAGCTAGTGCCAATGCCAACAGTGCTAGCAAACGAGGTTCGAGTGGCCACAGAAGAGATAAAGCTTCAAGGGACAAACATAATACGGATAGGAATGGTAAAAATTTTGTTACTTAAATATTAGTTTTTTTGGTAGTTGTTGTGTGGTGGAACAGGGTTTTTTGATGTTACAGCGTATGTAATAGCTGCAGACTACAACAACTAAGTTGGTTTGAAAATTGTGTTCTCACATTTCCTCTTAAGTTGGTTTTGACGACCATCTACATTTGACTCTAAGAAATTCAGTTTTCATACCAGAAGCTCCTCTCAGCAGTATTTGAAGTAATTTATAGGCTTGAGATTAAGTGTAGATCAAATTCATCATATCACTATCCACTCTCTTTGCTGGACAAAGTTCTCTTCTATAATGTTTATTTCTTTCTATTTACGTCATCTGTACAACGGCTTCTACTCAATTTCTGCTTGTCTTGCATTATTGGATACCATTTGACTATCCAGTTCATAAACTTAATGCTTTCAATTCCGGATTTTTATTGTATGATATTGTTTCGAGACTCTGCCTTGTCTATGAAACAATTGTTCTTATACAAATTTGCGCGAAAATAAACCACAAATACATGGTGCCCACAGAAATTAACACAGTTTGGCTAAATATCAAAATAGCAAACAAAAATTTACTCTGGTCTGTATATACAGGCTTCATCATATCACATTGGAATAGAACAGCAAGCTTCTGGAGACTCTCAAAGAAACATTTGAGGAAAAGATAGACGCTATTAGTCGGGGAGACTTTAACTTCCCTGAGATTGTCTGGAAAAGTCTTACACTGAGAGAAAACAGTGTTAACGTTGTGGATTTTATTGATGCCTACAAGGAATGGAATTGTAAACAGCTAGTCACGGGAGACACAAGGTTTCGGGGCGCTCAATCATCTTTGTTGGACTTACTACTGGTAACTGACACACAAAAAAATCTCAAATATTGAACATCGCCCATACCACTGGGGCTGAGCTCCCATGCAGTAATAACAGCCATGGCACAGTTGAGATTTGGGCAACGGCCAGCTAGGAAAGTACTTAAACTCATCTTCTGGAAGGCAGACTATGACAGCATTAATGTCTATATTAATAACAGGCCTGCAGGCACAAATACTGACAATATGGAATTCAGTGAATTTCAGGGCATAGGTGAAGGAAACCATTGAAAACCTATATGCTTGTGATTCATAAAAAACCACGGTTAAATAATGCAATATTTAGAGCAATATAGAGAAAACGAACACTTTGGGATGAATATGCCAAGAACAAAACAGCAGATAATTACAATTTGTACAGAACTCAAAATAACAGCTCAAAGAACACAATCAGGGCAGCCAGGACAGAATACCAAAATGGCCACTTGGACAACAGAGACGAGAAACAGTTTTATACGTATGTTAAGTGAACATTAAACAGCAACGCATCCGAGCTTGTGCTCAGAGAACCAATCACTGGCGTGAGCTAACACATTCGCGGATCACTTTATGAAGGTATACACCCGAGAAAACCTAGTAAATTTTCCATCGCTATTGCAGAATACTAGATATATTGAATCATTAGCAACCATAGATGTCACTGAGGAAAAGTTTATTCAAGCAATCTCTACTGTGAAAAGAGAATCTAGTCTAGGGCCGGATGAAATACCGGCAATATTATTAATAAATTGCCAAAGAACGTTGGCTGGCTCCAGTGATAACCGGCCTCTTGCAGTCACTAATCACTCAGCAAACTGTGCCGCAGGGATGGTCTCGAGAATACGTAGTGCCATTCTACAAAAAAGGAGACAAGCTCAACCCTGGAAATTACAGACAAATGAGCCTTACTTGTAACCTCTGCAAGATCATGAAGAAAATAACAGTTCAGGAAATGACATCTTTCCTTGTTGAAAACAAGACCATCCCACCCACCCAACACGGTTTTCTCCCCCAACGATCAACCACAACCAACCTACTCACCTGTATAAACTCATGGACGAAAGAAGTGGACAGTGGCCATCTAGTGGAGGTACTGTACCTAGACTATGAGAAGGCATTTGACAAAGTGGCAATCAAGAGGTTATTATTCACACTACAACACTTTGGAATCAGGAGTGAGCTCCTCGGATGGATAGGCAGTTTTCTACAAAACCGCACCTTCTAAGTGAGAGCAGCGGAAATGGTGGTGAAGGTGGTCCAGGTTTCACATCCGTAGGGAAGGTTTGACAAGACACCTAAATGCTGTGCTGACACACTTCAGTGGGCACTAAAAGTCTGCGTCGATATTTACATTTATCGAAAGATAACTACCAAGGTATGGAAAGTACAGATCGTTTCACCAGGGTTTATACCGAAGTTTATACTTTTGATATCGAACACGTCATAACTTGGAAAAAAAGGTTTGTCGTAGAATAAGGGTTACTTTTCATGCATCCGTTTATCCGTCAATCCGGAAGTATTCCTATTGGTCCGATATTCTGGCGCCAAAATATTGGACCAATAGGAATACTTCCGGATCAACGGATTGACGGATAAACGGATGCATGAAAAGTAACCCTAATTCATATGACATATTCAATTCAAACATAAACAAATGAAAGGCTTCTGGTTTAAGAACTGACGAACGTTTTTGACGTCAAAGTTTTACATGTTTTCGGGGTACTCTATTCACAATTATAGCTGGATCTGGTGCAATATCATTTGGGATGTGCTGAGATTTTTGGCTTGTCTGCATTAAGTTTTGGACCAATGTTCTCGGTTGCTTGCCCAGATGCATTTAGAGTAGTTTGCAGGTCTTCTCCTGTATTCATTAGGACAGCGTTATCATCGGTATATTGAAGTTGACATATCATCAGATATTAACTTTCAAGGATGGAAAAGACAAAGCATAGTGGACGGATATAGATAATAGTTATTTATACACCAAGTGAGTTAAATGAATGTTTATTCATGAGAAGAAAGTTTAACCCACGAGCCCTAGCGAGTGGGTTAATTTTCTTCGAATGAATAAACATTTTAACTCACGTGATGTATACAAAATTTTATCCCGTTTTGTGGAAATTTGAAAAATAAAGTACAAGGAGAAATGCTGAGAGTGAGTTAAAAATATTTTAAATCACTGAGGTTTCAGATTTTTAGTTGGGCAGAGTGACTTAAAGTGCCGAGAGTGAGTTAAAGTGTTTTTAAATCACTGAGGTGATAAACGTCTACTTACCTTCATTGTTATGCGTTCAATAATGTCATTTTTAAACGTCAAAATGGGATAAAATAATACAAAAATACTTTCAAAGACCTGAACTAGACACCTCTAAAATACTGATATCATATAATATAAGTAATGTCGGATCAGAGGTAATTTTCGAAATCGACGCAGAAAAAAATATGACGGCCCTTCACTTTATGGAATCATAATAAAGCCATGGCATTTCTCTGATAAATACAAGGTCTTTAGTGGGGTGCCACAGGGATCGGTGTTTACCGTATACATCAGCGATCCTCTTATAAAGACAAACATTTTTTATGCTGATGACACAAAAATGTACTGCAATCCATGCTTGGAGCATCACAACCTTTTAGACGACCGAAAAACACTCGAGAAATGGATCAGCGAATGGCAGCTATCACTCAACCCCGACAAGTGAACTGTACTGCACATTGGACTAACAAATAAACATACCTTAAACGGCACTACCGTGAAGGCTGTCACTGAGCAGAAAGATCTGGGTGTCATTATCTCAAATCACCTAAAATGGGAAGCCCATATTTCTCCAGTTGTCAAGAGCTCTCTCTTTTGTAAACCTCACACAGAAAGCTTTCAGTGACAAATCCATCCCCATGAATAGCAAAATATATAAAACATATATCAGATCTAAATTGGAGTTCGCACATTCGGTTTGGAGTCCATACTTGGTTAAGGACATTGAGACCTTGGAAAGAGTCCGTCGTAGAGTGACAAAACTCCCCCCTGAAATCAGAAATCTCTCATACAAAGAAATACTACTGAGATATGACATAACAACCCTAAAAGCTAGAAGAGAAAGAGGGAACTTGATTGAGACGTACAAATATCTTAAGTCACCATTATTCTCCAGATTTGCAGCTGGACATTTTCAGTTTAAATACTAACCAGCAACTCCGAGGCCATACTAAGAAGCTGGATAAGGAGAGATGCTCGAAGATGATCAGAAAGAATTTTCTGACGAATACGGTTGTCTATCAGTGGAACGCCTTTCAGAAAAGCACAGTCAGTGACTCGTAACAGTGAAAACAAGGATATAACAATACAGCAGTACTCTCATCGGCGTTGACGCTTACTGCAGCTCAACCCTATAATAATGATAATATTTCCAATTCAGTTATGCCTACAGGCTTCAACTAAACTTTCAGCACTCTTACAGCATCATGTATATGTTTTTAGCTATCAGTAATTTGAGTTTCGTGATTTGAGATGATTAAGATATTTTGCCTTCAATATTGACTCCACTGTTATCCCAACTGAGATCCCAACATCGTGCACACACTGGAAGAACTTTGGTATATATTATGTGTATATGTTGCTTTGATGCATGAAATATTTGAATTTTTTTTATTTATAATGTTATTATTATGATTTATGTGTTTTTAATCGATATTAACAAAAGTTTCAGTGCACAATTCCACACCGTCATCAGGATCAAACTTGGGATCATCACAGTCCACATCCGCATCGTCGTCATCCTCCTCGTCTTCCAGCAACTCGTCGACCGGCAGCGATAAACAACCCGGAACAAAATCAACAACTTCAAACTCCCCCGTTTCCATCCAAGCTCCAAGCTCGTTAGGCACCAGTGCAATTTCCACGGTAACAGACATGAACGGTATATTGCGGACGGCGAGCGCACCACAACCTGGACCACCCAGGTCGGTGTTCCCGGCTAGTACCGGTCCGGGACCTCCGCCGCCTTCGCCTGGACCGCCCGCGAGTCCCGCCGCCGCTACCGCTCAGGGTTCAGCGGCGAAACCGGAACAATCGAAAGTTGGGGGTGGGACGAGCTCGAATATTAGTAATAATAATAGTGGTAATGTCGCGGTGGCGTTGGCGATTAGTGCCGGACACAGTGTTAGTGGTAATTCGGGTCAACAGGACGAAAGCGGTAGTGGTAGGACTAATAGTACGTCGCCGCCGCCTAGTAAGAAAAGTAAAACTGAACCTAAGGTAAGAAATATTGCTTTTTTTAAAATTAATACCCAAAATACACACCCAGTTCTTATTGGTGTGACATTACTGCGGGCCATTATTACATCTCTTTTCATGAACTATAACTACCATTATAACAAATAAAGATAGCACTTGGGCAGTGCATAGTTTTAATCTATTTAGGTGACCTTTGACAGCGAACATTTGAGCTAGATCTAAGAGTCTCTCTTTGCATTTGTGTTCTGATACTGGGAGTAAATGAAACTTTGTTCGTTGTATAGAATCTGATGAAATGTATTTGGTATCCACATTGAAACCCGAATTAAAACATACCACACAATCCGAAAATGAAATAACTTTCGGTAACTGGATGCAAATGCTTCTAAAAACTTAATCCCAATTAAATGTCCAATTAACAAATTAATTGCTCTTCATTGTTTAAACAAATGACGCGTGTAAACTAGAAGGAATGGTTATTCCTGCGGTTAGGCGCTTAGCTAGCAAAAGTTTAATGAGAATCAACTTTTATTGCGCTCAGTTAACTCGGGTGATACTTAATTAACTGTTTTTATTACCTATACGAATTAATTGCCCTGATCTGAAAATTAGTTGCTTTGTTCCAACATTGTTCCTGATTTTAGCCTTTGACTTGATTTAAATTTAGAAATTCGTTTAAATGTAGCCACTTCTTCTTTCGACCCTTATTTTGAACACCTGCACACATCACACACCATTGATATTGATAGGTACATATTTCTTCACATTTTTCCAATACTTTCTAGGTCTTTCTTCAAACTTCTTTATTGCTTCTTCAAGCTTTTTCCATAAACTTTCTGGATGTCTGTCAACCTAGCATGACAACCCCACCAGAATTCGAAAATTTTGAAAAAATGCAACTCTGCTAGCTTGATATCAAGCCAAATACAGAAGCTAAAAAAAAAACACAACGCACATGCACTCTAACTCGGGATACAAAAAAAAAATATAAACAAAAACTAAATAAATAATATCACAGAATATTCCTATCAGGTACCGAAGAGAAACTATATTATGTCTAGTCAGGTTCCCCTTTTCCTTTGTTTTTGACTTTCTTGTAAATCTGTTATTCTATATTCCGTTCAACCTGTCCGAGGTGATTGCACCTATACAAATTATATATTCGCATAATAGTAAATCGAACAGGCTGGTTTCATGGGTTCAATACCAACGATCACCTTCAATGTCTCAACACCCTCATAGAAAAAAGTATTGAATACAACCTTCCTTTGGTATTGGTGTTTGTAGAGTTCCGAAAGGAGGTCGACACTGTGGAACTTCTTGCAATTTTGAGATCACTATAAGAAAGTAGAGTTGATCACTGATATTGCGAACTTATTAAAAACATATACGGAAACGCAAGGACCATTGTAAATATTCACTTTACCACCAGAAAAATTTAAATTAAAAGAGGAATCCGACAGGGTGACATCATAGGTCGCACAGAAATTCACAAACCAGTCAGAGCGAATTTCATTGGTTGAAAACAGTCAGAAAACTAGTTTCAACCAATGAAATTCATTCTGACTGATTTTTGATGCCTGTGCGAACAGACCTTATGGTACTCTTCATCAAATTTTTTCAACATGCTTTTAAGAAATTGCCTTGGAAGCGAAAAGGAATAATCATCGATAGGGAAAGTCTTAATAATCTTCGCTTTGCAGATGATATTGTCCTAATATCAGACAGTCGGGACGAAGCTAAAGAAATACTCTAGGAACTTCAACATTCCACGCAAGAAGTAGGCCTAAAGATGAACTTCAAAACCAAAATGATGCCTAATCTGATTCTCAGTGAGCAAACACAAATAGGCAATAATAACACAGAAATAGTGGACAGGTTCTCATGATATGGGCCATGAGACGAGAATTCGCACAGAGATAATCAAATATGCGAATTAACAAGAAGAATAACCTTGGGATGGGCAACATTCCGGAAAATGAGGGATTCTGAGACTAAAAGCATTCAACCAGTATGTGTTATCCCAGTTCTGACTTATAGTGCGGAGACATTAACACAGACACGAATGGAAAGATCCATGCTTGGATTGATTTTAAAAGACTGAGTAAGGAATGATAAGATCCGCATTGTAGAACGTATTGCAAAACAAAAGTGGAAATGGGCAAAACGAACTCATTGAGCGGAAACCAAGAGTCGACAAACGAAACCAAGGAAGACATCCCACTTGCTGACAGACGACCTAAAAAGGAGCTTATCAAATTGGATCCTATATAGCTGTTCAGAACAGAGACAACTGGAAAATGTTAAAGGAGGCCATGTTCAACAACGGAACGTGAAAAGAGGCTATTTGATGATGATGATGTTAACATTTTGCTTTGCATTGATTTGTGTAGCTAGAGGTTTAACCATTTTTAGGACTAATTTGCAAAGACCTGCATGTTTACTTCTACTTCCAACTAAAATTTCTGTTGTGGAAACGAACCGACTTTTCCATCGTCTGTCTTGAGCTGACAAAACTGAAAGATTCTTCTTGGCGGCAGGGACATATCAAACGTCTTCTGAGTTATACTGTTCATTTTCTCAATTGACACAAGCTTCAACCACAATGCTGCCTTTTCCTAAAGCTCTAACAGCATCACCATTTGAAGTTGTTGATCTGTAGTCTTTAGTAAATGGTTCAAAACTTTCATAAACATATTATATTCTATCACAAATGTGATTGGTTGCACTCTTGCACCATTGTCTACAACATACCAATTTTCTGCATCTTATGTTAGAGGGCTAATAACGCTTGATTTTAACTGGAGTTTGACTATTACTTTTTTAAGGTTCGGGGGTCTTCCATTTGATTTCCACTTGAAACATTGTCTAACTCGATGTCCAGGAAGATAACAATATTTACATTTGGAGTGAGCCACAGCTACAAGAGCTACTACTAGCAGTTTTTTCTTTACTAACTTCAATTTGTAAATCCTTCCACAAATGTTTGGGTTGTAGTTCCAGCCACATTTCCCCAGCTGTTGTAAATCTCATTACTTTTTGTAGTTTCTTGAGTCATATATCCAGTGAGCAAAAGCAAGGCACTGCTGTCGGCTTGAGTATAAAAGGCCAGCACTGGAACCACAAACAATCGCTATTGATAAGTTCTCAACAATTTCCCCTCATTTCTCACCTCGTCCACCCATCGCTCAACGTTAGGGTCCAAAATTGCCACCACAAACGAACATTTGCGGTGCAAACGAACGTTTGCGGTAGCAATTTTGGCGACTAACGTTGAGCGATGGGTGGACCAGGTGAGAAATTATCGATAGCGATTGTTCGTGGTTCCGCCTCTGGTCTTTTTCATACTTGTCGTTATCTTCTTTTGTAGATAGATTTCTTTAAATTACCTTCCAGCACCTTATTTGCACGAGGTATATACTTCTAAGTAGAATAGAATTTGAACTTTATATGGACCAATTCTGTTTACCTTCTGATAATCCAATCTGAACTTTACTGACAACCATTTCTAATCTTTTTGGCAGAACTGTAACAGAATGCTTTTTAAAAACAATTGTTTCTTGACTTTGGGCTGACCATGCAGTGCTACCATGTTGATGTAGATGAGTCTCTACCTATTTAAATCTTAGTGTTTATATGAGATTGATTAAAAGTTAAGGAGAACGTTCTGTGATCTCAAACATTACTTTAATGTATACGTGAATGTTGAACAGTTTCGTAGCTATCCAGGGTCTTTGAAGATATTTTAGAGATTTTCGAAATTTCAGGTCTTTGACTTTTTGAAGTATAAAACTAATATTTCTGGGATCTGATAGATCATTTCGTTGTCTTTCACAGTCAAATCTAACGTTTCCAAGATAACAATAGTTATAGTTTCACTTCTTCAAGAGATCACACCCTGTATAACTAATAATGTGCATCCAGACAAATTTTCCATAATTTCCATAATCGCGCAAAAGAAAATTCCCGCATCTCCTGACCAAATTAATCCCGGGATCTTCTAACAGATGCGGCATGGAATTCATTAATCTGGGGTTTCAATTCGAGTTCCTGGACGGAATCTAAAGAGGACTCGTGAAAGCTCGGGGGTGGGAAGCGAAAGAAGGAGAGAGAGAGAGTTAAGCCTTCTGTAATACTCCAGGCTGCGGTGCCAACCTGTCAGAATTAATGGCGTGTGTGGCGGAAAAGCTGCGCGCATATAAACAGGCGAGTTTAATGTTAAGGGAATTTCTGGATGCTTCGGTGCCTTTTCAAGTTGCTGCTGTTGACATAAAATTTTCTCCGCATGGGATTTAACTGTAGGAAACAGCCGGAAGTGCAATATTATCACATTACCAACTACCTATTATTGTAATTTGTTTACATCACATGCCGATCTTTAGATTCAAATCCCATTGAACAAATGAGGGAACTTCCATACCTACATATATAACGTTTGAAAACTTGATTATGAAATTTGAAGTGTCACTATACATACGCAACAACCATTAGAAATAAAAATTTAAAAATCATCATCAACCGTGTACTTTATTCCTGAAACCATCATCATAAACTCGTTTTATCTAGGAAGCTGTCGCCGCCGCAATCTTCTTCTGCTCAGTTTGCCATGACTATAATTATCTCCAGTATAAAACGTAAAGTGCGCTTCTCTTGTAGCTTTCCGTCACGCTAGCTTTTCTGCTTTGACTTGTGTTGCGGAAAATGTAATTTCTGGCGGAATTTTAAACGAAGATTACAAAATATGAATACTCATTTTATACATCAACATAATAATTATTGTACGGTAAATTGTAAATGCTTTTTGTCAAAACTTCGATTGAGATTCAATTTCAGTAGAAATGTCAAAGATATTATGTCTCCAACAAGCTTGTTTCAAGCCTATAGAAAGTAGGTACCTACTCATAAACTGCAAATCGCGGAAATATCGAACAATGTTTAAAGGCAATGTTTGCCTTTTCACCGTAGTATTGCTTCATCCCTACAATCAACAGTAACCTCGTATTCAAATTGTTAACAGTAAA